CAAGGGTCAGGGGTTAATGACTCACTTTGTCGGCGTTGAGGCATGCTGGCACGAGGTGCAGCCTGGTACTGGCACTGCCAGGGAGAGAGGAGAGGAGAAGGTACAGCCTGCAACACACACACAGAGAAACCGTGACGCACACACGACACCCGCACAGCTGCGCAGAGACACAAACCCCAGTGAATCTAGACAAACACGGTTTAGAAAGACAAACTCTTTCACAAGTAATCTCACAGAGAAACAGCGCACAAACATACACGTTTCCTTTGAGAAGATATCCGTTTCTGAATGTCAGACAAAAAGATCAGCGAGAAGGCAAGTAAAGAGACACAACGCAATGTCAAAATTCCTCACTAATGCATATGGATCTATTAGATAATTTCTTTTACATGTTCACTAGGGAATATTTTTAGATAAGGAAATCACATATATTCTTCACATATATTCTAGTTCTGCCTTTACCTATAAAAATTGATTGCATAATGTTTTTTTTTTTGCCAGATAAAAGCAAGCGTTGACATATAATAGAAACCTGATGCACAGAAGATGAGCACAGCCTATGCTGTAAGTATGTTGATTTTGTGGAGAAAATCTTAATTTCAAGTCTTTTCTTTATAAAGCAAAACCTAGAAAACTCATTCTGTAAATGCAGTCATAATAAAGCTAAAAGCATTCATGTCTTTATTTTTTGCCCTTGTTGTATTGTACTCATCTGTTCAAGTATACATGAAAAAAGCATACAGTAAATGAAAAACTGAAGGATGCTTTGGAGGAACTGCACAACATTAAGGCCAGTTTTATTCCAATTATCATGCACAGACTACCATTTGAAACTTTGAGGTTAGGAAGATATTTTTCTCTGCAAAAATAAATACTTTTTATTCAGCAAAGAGCAATTTAATTCAATTTCTCAAATGCAAAAGAAAAATGAATAACATGAAAAGATCCTATAAAATCTAGCTATGAAAATAAATGCTGCTCTTCTGAACTTTGTGTTCTGAACTTTGTATTCGTGTTCTTGGACAAAGGTGTCTACATTTCCTTTTCCTTTTCAAGGTCCCAAAACTTTTTTTTTTCAAAATGATTCTTTAAGGATTATTTGGCAGTGAAGAATAAAAAAAAGACATTGTAAGAATAACTCATAATTTTAAAAAGATAGTTTTGCTGTTATTTTCACAATAACAATTAATCACAACATTACTCTTTATACTCTTAATTCTACTTTTTCCAAAGAAACAGAAATTTTGTTTAAAAATCCTTAATAACATTTAAACAGGATAGTGTGAACAGATCATGTGGAATATGTTAGTTTTTTTTTACAATGCATTGTGATGGTAATATGAACTATTCAAATAATAAAAATATATATGTTATTAAATTGGCTCATGACATGCATACAGTTTGGTTGTAAATGAAGTACTATTATTATATAATATATATTTTTATTTCTCCCTGCTGAAAAAAAAACTGCTTAATCCAGCCTAGGCTGGTTGGCTGGTTTTAGCTGGTTGACGAGCCTGGTTTTAAATGGGTTTTGGCAAACCAGTCTGGTCTTACTAGTCAAGCTGAAAATGACCAGCTCAAACCAGCTAAACCAGCTTGACCTGCCTGGTTTAAGCTGGACATAGCTGGTTTTGGCTGTGCTCCCAGCCTGGTTAGGTCGGTCAACTGGTTTAAGCTGGTCATCTCTCAGCCTGACCAGCTAAGAACAGGTTTTAAATAGCTGGAGACCAGCCTGAAAATGGCCAAAACCCCTCTAAAACAAGGCTGGTCGACCAGCTAACCAACTTAGGTTGATTTAAGCTCTTTTTTCAGTAAGGATAGTATCAAAGAAGCAGAATAGCATACAACTACTGTAAGTATTAATATAGTTATTAATATAGTAATTAATGAATTAGAAAAAGGTGAATCAAGAATGAGAAATAACTCTGAAAGATAACTGAATTGAATTATGATCTAAGAGAATTTGCACGTCTATTGAACAGTAGTCTGGATGCTGGTGAATATGGAGCTACCATCTCAAAAGGGGTAGGTCTGTGAAGTTGACTATACACAAACACTAAATTAGCTTGATTAAAATAAAATTAAAATGTGGGTTTGACAAGCCATTTTTAACTTTTGTCTTTAAAACTATCTGCATTTTTGGACTGACAAACCCATTCATTGAGACTATTGCGACATTATTTTAATGCACAATTCAATCCTAAACAATCAATTTTAGATTTACCTGCATCTAAACCGAGTGTAGCAGCATGATTCTTCCAGGTTAAATGGATTGTTCTTTGCCAAAATAAGCTGAAAAGTGGACCAGTCCAAACCCTGACTCAGCAAGACTCATTAAATGAGCAAGAGACAGCACATCAAGGAGTATGCACTCCATGTAGTATTCACATTAGTATGCTACTCGCAGATTTCCGCAAAAAAAGCAGTGTCGACAAGAACAACATATATTAGCTGTTTTACAAGACATGATTGCAGTAAACAAAAGATGATATGATATCTTGTACATAATTAATGTACAAGATGTCATTTGCACTAGTAGGATGTCTTCCTGGATCAACAAGCTTTGCTGGTTCCTGATACAGAAACCAGTGACTGCCCGCTAATTTTAGCCTTCCGTTTTGCATTAGGAAATGAGTGTGTCTATGACTGCATGAAAAGAATGTTGTTCCAAGGACAACAAATGAGTCCATCCAGGAATGTCACACTTGGATTAGGCAGAACAAATATTTGAGTGCTTGAGTTATGATTAAACAGACATCCATAGATTAAACATTGCGTTAATATGTTGTACATTGTATGATGCTTGCATAAAGACATTATTAACAACTGTTCACAGATAACTTTAATTAAATTATTCAAAGTTTTATTTTAAAGGTGCCATATAGGTGCACTGATATGTTAGATTGTTCTCTGACATCTACATTGGGTATGTGGCTTAGGCAAGTTTAAAAAAATTATCCAGAAATGTTTTATATGCTCAATTATGAGTCCTCATTTATGAATCACTCCTACAATTTAAAGTTCAGTTTTGACCATATATGGTATGATTGTAAATATTAATGAGCTCTGCTCTGATGCTTAGCAGCTCATCAGTACCTGCTTTCTTATAGACACACACAAACATACAAAGCATTAGCTATGTTTCCATCCAAAAATGCTAATTAAATTTATGCGCAAAACTGGAATATAGCATATAAGACATACCAATAAAGCAGCATTTCCAACACAGGAGTCCAATAGAATAAAATCGTCACTTCCTTACTAACTGGTGCCAAATATCAACAGTAAAAATGAAATTTGCTGCGGTAGGAGAAGCTGCATGAATCTTTTCATTATTTAATAAATGACTTGCACCTCAGAAGACAAATGCAGATGCGCCATGAATGCGTGGTGGTGTTTGAAGGCATGAGACGTGGAGTACAAACGCTCTTGACATATCTGGAGGCAAGTAAGAATATAATAACACTAATACTGAAAGGGTAAATGTTTTTTAGAGTGACCAAAACAACATTTTAGATGTGTTACAATGTGCTCAGCCTGCTGGTTTGTCCACTCACACATTTTTTTCCTCACATGATCTCTTGTGACAAAAATAACATGACTTTTTAATGCGAATACTGGAATTTGTTCAGCAAAATTGTTTCCATCAAAGTTTGTGCACATCTTTTCTTATAGAAAAAAAGTTTATCCTATTCAGTTATGCACATACGTTTTTATGCGCATTGTCAACTTATGAGCATCTTGATATTCAAAAATTAGCATATTCAAATTGTGCATAAAAATCAGTGGATGGAAGCGTAGCTACTGTGTACTCTTAAAATACACACATGCAAAATAATTTTTAAAATGTCAAAAAATATGTTAAAATTGAGTAGATGCATTGTTAAATCTTTTCATCTAAAGTGGTGATGAGGTTTATTTTAGCTATAAGGATTGAGTTAGATATCTTTAAGCCACCAGAGTAATCTATTTTGCTCCTGAGTTGTGCTGTGGATATATATATATACACATACATACATACACGCGCACATATATATATATATATATATATATATATACATATATATATATATATATATATATATATATATATATATATATATATATATATATACACGAATATAAAAACAGAAGCAGGAATTTAAGTCAACCTCTGTATAAAAAGATGTTTCCTTTTATTTTATTGCTGCCTTTTCACCCAAGAGAAATCACTGAATGATATGGCATGATGCACAGAATACCACAGAAGAAGGTCATAATGATAAAGAAAATAGTAATCCCTTTATTTTTCAAACATTAACATGCACACAAACTGAACAGCGGTTTGTCCAAGATCCTTGCTAACTTTCATTCTCGTCCTCATTTCCACTTTCAAATTGTCATCCATCTCTTGTTACCTCCCTCACCTCTCTCTCCTCCCTGTAATCTCTCCTGACTCCAGTCTTTCGCCATGTGCCGTTAGCTTTGCTGATTGTGTGCCGGTCTTCAATAAGAACACGTCCCCCTGTGAACATCTCAGGCTGGGGCTGTGAAAGCTAAACCACCGGAGAGGCTGCAGCGCGGCTTCACTTAAATAGGAGATGACAATCATTCTGCACTCTCTAGTAGATGCCCGTTTTCCCCTAGCAGCGGCAAATTGGCCAAATCGGCACCTCGGCAAACGAGGCTCAGCTCAGGGCGTCCCGCGAGACTGCTGGGCTATTTCACCATGAAAAACGAACGCATTGGAGGGAAGGACAGAGGATAGGAAAAGAACAGAAGGAATGTGTTGTCTGATTTGTCAGTCCTGACAACACATTTGCTTCCCCCTTTTGTAAACAACTAGCCACCTATAAAGCACAGAGAGGTTGAGGGGGAAGCATGAAATGAAAACGACATCTCACTAAGGCATACAAAGATACACTTGTGTCACTGGCTTAAAATTTCGGGAGAGTTTTCTGGGTGATGCAGTCATGTAGACATGCATGTTGCTGGACAGATAGTGAGAAATGACTCACAGCAGGGTGATGATGGGGTGGTCGCCACACCGTCTGAGTGGATTTATCATGATGTGTTCTCCTCTCACCTCTGACCCCAGGCTTATGCTGATGACAGTGGCATCTCACTGGCTAAAAAAAGAAAGCAATAAAAAGAAAAACAATTATGACTTTACACTTTCTGAAGACAATAAGAGAGGTTTTAAGACCTTGGCAATTAAAAACTAGTATAGAAGTAGTTTCCCAGGCATTGCTGGAAGAAATTTGACTTCTTTTTGTCTTTTAATGAATATTGACTACACTGATTTTTTATGTTATGACTAAAATCATGTATTAATTTATTGTACATGTGAAAGCAACTACAGTAAAACTAATGCATTATTACTATTATTATTATTTAATCCCCAGTTACAAATAGTAATAAAAAACAAATAAATAATAATAGCAATAATGTCAAGTTTAAATAAACTTTCAGAATTATTTTGTAGTTTACTATTTATTATTTATGCCATTTCTGAATTTTTATGATATACACACAATGGCCACTTTATTAGGTACATATTAGGCTAGTTAATCCAAATTTTTAATCAGCCAATCAATGGCTGCAACTCAATGCATTTAGGCATGTAGACATGGTCAAGATGATCTTCTGCAGTTCAAACAGAGCATCAGAATGGGGAAGAAAGGTGATTTAAGTGACTTTGAACATGGTTGTTGGTGTCAGACATGTTGGTCTGAGTATTTCAGAAACTGCTAATCTACTGAGATTTTTATGCACAACCATCTGTAGAGTTTAAAGAGAATGGTTCGAAAAAGAGAAAATATCTAGTGAGCAGCAGTTCTGTGGGCGCAAATGCCTTGTTGATGCCAGAGGTCAGAGGACAATGGCCAGACTGGTTCCAGCTGAAGGCAATAGTAACTTAAATAGCCAGTTGTTACAACCGAGGTATGCAGAGGAGCATCCCTGAACACACCAATGTCGAACCTTGAAGCGGATGAACTACAGCAGCAGAAGATCCCACTGGGTGCAACTCCAGCCAGCTAAGAACAGGAAACAGAAGTTACAATTCCCAGAGGCTCACCTCTCGTTGCCTGGTCTTAAAAAGTCTCAATTTCTGCTGCGACATTTGGATGATAAGGTCAGAATTTGGCATCAACAACATAAAAGCATGGATCTACCCTGCCTTGTATAAACAATTCAGGCTGGTGATGGTGTAATGTGGGGGATATTTTCTTGGCACACTTTGGGCCAGTTAGTACCAATTGAGCATTGTGTCGACGCCACAGCGTACCTGAGTATTGTTGCTGACCATGTCCATCCCTTTATGACCACAGTGTACCCATTTTCTGATGGCTACTTTCAGCAGGATAACACGTCATGTCATTAAGTGCAAATCATCTCAGACTGGTTTCTTGAACATGACAATGAGTTCACTGTACTCAAATGACCTCAACAGTCACCAGTTCTCAATCCAATAGAGCACCTTTGGGATGTGGTGGAATGGGAGATTTGTATCATGGATGTGCAGCCGGCAAAATCTGCATCAACTGCATGATGCTATCATCTCAATATGGACCAAAATCTCTAAGAAATATTTCCAGTAGCTTGTTGAATCTACAGTATGATACAAAGGATTAAGGCAGTTCTGAAGACAAAAGGGGGTCCCAACCAGGTACTAGTAAGACATACCTAACAAAGTGGCCAGTGAGTGTAAGTTTAATAGAATAGTAATTTTCTAAATCCTTTAAACAGAAAATTCCAAATGGTGGAATAATAATTTCGAAGACATTGTATTGTACAGGAACACCTAACAGCTATGAGAAGGAATTGGTGTAAACATGTGTATGTGTGTGTGTGTGTGTGTACATATACATATATATATATATATATATATATATATATATATATATATATATATATATATACAGACACACACACACAAATAATTAAATTACATTTTTTAAATAATAATACAGAATCACAAATGTGGTTTAAAATTAAGTAAACAAATGAGTAACTAAATGGAACAGAACTATGTATAAAGACATTGGTCATTTAACATTTTTGCACAATAATCCCTTGCACAAGAATGGTCAGGTTGTCTAGTTGAAAATGAGGTTGCTAACAGCACATCTCTTCATCACTGTGCACAATTTGCAATGTCATTGATAGCTCATTAAGTGAGTTAGAGCCAGTTACATTTACTTACCAATGCATTAGTAATATTGAGGGTTGCCTTAAGCACCACTAATACTCTTGTTCTAATGTAAAGAAATATAATTTGCTTTCATCTTTGCTTTGCAATCAGCATAACCCAGAAGATGTGAGTTTATTGGAGCTAATGATATAATTGCTTACTGAAGGTGACAGTAAGTGGGAGTAAAGGTTAAAGTGCACGTGTTGATGATTCACCATTTGCTGTTTTTCCTTTTTGGAACAGGGAGGTTAATGAACAGCATGAGATGTGAATTATTCTGAGAACATCTCATCCTGATTTTGTCTCATATATGCAGACATGGAGTTAGCATGACGTTAGCATCTTAGAGCAGACACTGCAGGCTCTGATTAGCCACTCATGTATTATGCATTTTCAATCAATACAAAATTGTCAAAATGAGCATGAGTGCAAATCTGTCAGGAATGGGCGAAGGCTCACCGATTCCTGATGCTGTTGATGAGTGAGCCGTGTGATGATTTTATCTTTATTTTTCAGCTCTTCCCTGAGACGTGCCACCTCCTTCATCAGCTCCTCCATCTGACAAACACAAAAAGAGTAAATATTAAAAGCTTACACAAATAATATTGCACCATATCGTCTACACATTAATAATACATGTCTACCAAATGGAAAAAGAGGTGCACAGAGCTGTTGACTTCAATTTGTAGGCCAAAACCGAAGACTAATTTACCATGGGTCCCCACAGGAATTACTAATGGCTTTTTAGAAAAGCAGTTTACAATTTATGAGCATAATAAGGTCTGAGGTAAACATTACCAGAGAAATATTAATGTTTTGTTCTACTTCATAAATTACACACAGCTCAAAAGTGAATTCAGAAAATTCTGTGTGCTTTAAAAACACAAGCCGCTGCATTAGGATTCATAAGTAGTTTTAGGTTATGTCTCAAATTACACGTTGTTCATTTAAAAGATAGACTATTTACTCTCCAGTCTAGTGTACAAGTTTTATAAGATTATTTCAGAGCATGATAACCATAATTAAAGCTGAGACCATTGAGTGGATGAAGTGTCCAATAATCCAGTCTGGATGTATTTGAAATAGACCTCCATAGCCTTAAAAATGACACTATTTGAGAGAACAGCCATTTGTTGTGTTGTCCGAATCCAGTTTAAGCTATTAAGTCCATTTATCGAACCACTAATGCCCTTCAATAACAAGTGTTCAAACAAAATTACAACTCATAAACTGGAAATTGTGTAAGACCTACGACTTGCATCAACTGACCACTGCAAATACTGTTAGTAAAATAAACAAATAGGTGTTGATAGTGCTGCCACAAAAATATATAATTTCAGGTCAGAGAAAATGAATAACTCTTAGTAGAATGTCACCATCTTGACATCACAAAGTTGGTAATTATGAGACGGTGTGAACAAAGCTATAGTTTGATAAAGGTTTACAAACACTAAAACGCAAATTTTCATGTCCTAATTTACTCACTTGTTTTCATTTACTGCTTTGAGAGCACTACATATGTGGATTAAGTTTTTCTGATATTTCTAGATCAAGTTCAACTATTTATTAAATCTAAAGATGCAGTATGTATGTTTTTGACTCTTCTGCAGCATAAAAAACACAAAATGATTGGAGATATTAAAGAGACATGCTAAGTGAACAATCTTCAATCCTCATCTGAAAAACAAAGCTAAAGTTAGATATTCTGCTTTGAAAAAGTCAGTTACGTGCTAGAATATCTGTCCGTTTGTTTTGGTCCCTTCAACCCGCCCATTGCCAGTTTATCCAATTATATTTCAGCACCCCGGGGTTGCCTTGGTGGAAAACTGTGTATTAGATTCATTCAATCAGGAAGGCTCTCAAAGTGTGCAGCCGCAAACTCCAACTAAATGGTACAGTTTATAATCGAATTAAGACATAACAACTTTAAGACTATTAAATGTAAATCACACTGTATGTCAGTTCTGAAGTTCAATTTCAAATGGTTCATATATCTTTTAAGATATGAGTTGATCTGCTGCTGTTTTTAGTATGCCAATTAACATCTAGTAAAATGGCATTCAAACTCGCATTATTAGCATTGAACACTAAAAAGCACATGAGGTGTACCTGAGGTGGTCATTGTCATAGTTTTTTGTTGTTCAGCTGCAAAAAATAGAAGCCGTTTTCAAAATATACATTTCAGGTGTTGGTTAGAACAAAAACTCCTTTTAGTATGGAAAATTTTCCTTCTATTGTGTGCCTTTACCTTTATTTAGAATATGATTTAAATCAGCCTTTAGGCTTAACATTCAGGCTCACTCCTGTTGGTGTCATCAATCTGGCAACCTGCGCTTGCGTGTGTTTTGAACCAAACCAAAAACGTAAAACCTTTCAAATGCTGTGTGCACATTTAGTCTTTACGTAACTTCTTCACAACAGGCAATCTTAAAGCACACGACAGTCTCAAAGTTCATATTTTAAGATATGACTGGAACTTATGCCATCACTTATGTCATAATTTATCCTGGAGAATAAACCAGGCAAGTCTCTTCTAGTACAAGCATTTAGCATCTGAAAACCACTTTTTTAAAAACACATTAGACATTCCTAGGGGACCTCATGCCTTGAAAATGCTAATTTCTTCTTTTTAGGACTGAACAGCTCTATTCAGGTGGGTGTTTATGGGATGTTACGGACCTGCTGGGCTCTGCTGTCATCTTCGCTGGAATCCAAACTCTCTGGAGTAATCTCACCATCATCCATCTACATAAAATGACAATTTATTCAGGAGATGAATTGCTCATGTTTACAGTTTCTCTCTTCCTTTTATTCTCTTTCTCTCTTTTTGTTTTCCACCTACACACATACTGAAACTTGCTAAGAGGCTAACAGCTGTGTTTGCATTTGTAAGTGTAAATTTGACTCTTCCGGCTGTATGTGTGTGTGTTTGGTACCTGCAACAGACTCTTGAGTTTAAGCAGCTGTGATTTGACAGAGGAACAGTCTTCTGTCATGTGCTTGAGAGTGAGCTCATCTAGCGCCACTGTGTGACTGTCATGCTGAATTGCAGGATGGAGGGTTCGATGGCCTGTACGACAGGCATCGTAATGAAACCCGGCCAGCCTGAAAAAACAAGTTCAGAGTTCAGACTTAATATAATTTAGCAAAAGAAGCACAACCTCAGCAGACAAGCTCCCATGTCGTGAAAAATCTATTTTCTTGATCTTTGAAATCAAAAGTGATGAAAACAGACTGCAAGCCAAGTCTTTTTTTATTTTACTTCTTTCAAACTTTTTGTTGTCAGCAAGAAGAAACTGACTGACATCTTTATATAGACATCAGTAATGCCCATTTATTATGTAGGAACATGCAGTCATTGTGAAGACACTGACATTGGGTTGAACATATACTAAACTTGTATGTTTATTTTTTAAATACTAAATGCTGATATTACTATTACATACAGTAGTAACATATTTTTCAGTAACATATTTTAGATTAAATATATTTGTATTTGTCAAAGTGATGAGATAAATATTAACAAAGTAATTTTTATCATATTAGACATAGAATTAAAAATGATATACAATTGCAATCAGAATAATTAACCAGCCTGAATTATTAGCCCCCCTATTTATTTTTACACCAATTTTTGTTTAACGGAGAGAAGATTTTTTCAGCACATTTCTAAACATAATAGTTTTAATAACTCATTTCTAATAACTGATTTATTTTATCTTTGCCATGATGACAGTAAATAATATTTTACTAGATATTTTTTAAGACACTTCTCTACAGCTTAAAGTGACATCTAAAGGCTTCCCTAAGTTAATTAAATTAACTAGGCAGGATAGGGTAATTAGGCAAGTAATTGTATAACGATGGTTTGTTCTGTAGACAAATAAATACATTTTTATTTAAATAAATAACTTTTTAGCCAAAATAAAACAAATCAGACTTTCTCCAGACGAAAAAATATTTTCAGACATACTGTGAAAATTTCCTTGCTCTGTTAAACATCATTTGGACAATATTTAAAAAGGAAAACAATTCAAAGTACGTATTAACAATAACAAAACAAAAACAATAACAAAACAAAAACAATATATTTTTTTAATTTAGCATCCTTCTGGTACCCCTCAGTGAATTCACTTGTTTAAGGAAATTATTTGTAAGCACATAAACATCAGTTGAGCCTATGTTTACTTTCCTCACCTGGTACTACAATATTAACAATAATTTAATTACCCCTCTATTTTAAAACGGACAGTTCTAATCATGAATGGTGAATATAGTACTCCCTTTAAACTAAAATAATTATTTTTAAATTGATATGACAAAGCATGTAATTTAAGTATTCAACACATCACTAATTTTTGTGACATTTTTTTCAACATATTTCAGCTAGTGCAGCTGACTTGAAATTTTTACCAGATGCTGATAACAATCAAAGAAATACATATATGAAAACAAATCTAATTAGTTTACAAATTAAGTTATGTGTAATGAATAATAAATATGTAAATACAAAAGAAAAAAAGTATTGAACACATAAAGAAGGGGAGGTATAAAAAAGGCAGTGAAAACCCAGACAGCAACTAAAATCGTTCAAGAGTTATTCAGCAACTCTCTGCCCTTCATCATTGTAAATTCTGCAACTTGATATAGTAAAAACATAACCAATGATGTAAACCTCTGCTCGATATGTAATGCCCCCAACCTATACTCCAATGCACATCATGATTTTGCCAAGTTCGATGTGATTCTGAATTAAAATCTATGTTGATCCTGGAACATCATTTTTGTTGGAAAATGTAATCCATACCTATTGCCTACCCTTAAACCCACCCATAATTGTATATTATTCCCAAATTCAAAGAGGAATGATAGTTGGATAACACTCATGTAGAAGTGCACAAACCTAACAGTAAGCCTTAACTTAACATAAACGTTAAACATATCCCCCAATTCTGATTGGAATTCCAGGATAATATTAAGATCAACATACAGTAGATGTTAATCCAGGTACATGCCCTACTTTGTGAAATTAGATTGGTGCTAGTCCAATCATATCATGTTCTTTATTTTCAGCTTAATATACCAAAAGTATATTCTGACACGTTCACCTGTTGTCATTATGAGTATGATCTGCTCCGCTCCACCTCTGCTGCCTCCTTCTCCATTGAGCCGGCCGGCCCCCCCTCTCAGAGTGCTCAAAGTGGGCCATTCCTTCTGCATATAGGGGTCAAGCTCAATCAATGACAAATAAACAAACACACAACCCCATTCACTTTCAAACGGAGTATTTCACATTCAGTTAGTCTCTGAGACACAAGCTCAAAAACAGACACGCACTCCTTCGTGAAAAAAAGAAGGTCATCTTTCTCTGGGAGGTTGTGAAGCGTCCTTCCAAATGCTGAGCTCTTAGAGTTTCGACACAAAGCTCTCACACTGCCCGAGGCGAGATATCAGGGCAAACTCACAAACACACACTGAGGCATACGAAATCTTGCCGTCTCGCACACAAGCACTCTCTCAATCTTTATACACACTTTTTGCAAGCACAAAGTAAGACAGCAAGTGGAACAGACAGAAAACTAAGCTCCAAAACAGACCTGCTACATTCCTCTTGTCCTTGCTGTCCGGTTCACCGCCAGAGCCTCAAAAACAGACTTGAAAAACAGTCCAAAAACTCACTCACACGAATACAAATACCCTTAGAACTAAGAGCAGGGATGCTCTGTTTTGACTGACAAGTCCAAAAGAAAAAATCCCCAAAGTTAGAAATTCCAAAGTTGAGTGAAAAGTATGTAGAAAACTTTAACAAGTTGTGTCAAAGTTCCTAAGACTTTCTCACTGGCCACCCGAGCATCTGCAAATCCAAACTTTTCCACCCTGCTGGAACGTGGGTGTGTGTGTGTATAAATTCTGGGAACTCCCTAGGAGTTTTGACCAGATGAGACGCACACAGCTGTGAATCCCAGAGCCACGGGGCCTTCAGAAGAGAAGGGGAACTGGCGATGATGTTGTCGGCCGGGTCGGCAAAGCCCGCAGGCAAGGTCTGCTCTCTAGTCACGAGGAACAGCGTCAAAGCAGCAGGCCTTCCTGCGAGCCAAACCGACAGATCTGCCATGGAAGGAATGAAGGAGGGAAGAAGACAGAGAGAAAGGGGGAGGAGGTCTGAAGTCATCTATTCCCTCCTCTGGCTCTGCAACCTCTCTCACATGACTGCAGGGCATAATGCCCACGGCTATAAATACAACACACACACACACACATACCACACACATGCGGTGTGAAACTGACTGATTCCTGCTGATGGCGCAGGTCAAAATACTGAATGTAAACATGACAAAGACAAAAACACAAGGAAAAACAGATGCTCACAAGAAATGGCACCAGACAGGACGGTCCCTAACAGGAAGGGCTTGTGTGTCATTCTTGTATACAGAGGATGCACTTATTCATTTGAATGTCATCTAAATTCTTTTGTTTGCCATTTCCAGGGTGGAATTTGTCTACGTGTTCCAGAGTTTAGAATCTGCAGAACCCGTAAACACCCTGTGACTCCACTTACACTTTCTAAGCACACACGCTCTCCGACTGAGAGAAAACAGGAATAAGTTTAGTATGCTTGGCACTTACTGGCTGTAATATACAAGAATTAGTTTACTTCAAAAGTTTAGGCTTAATGTTCTTGAAAGTCTTCAGCACATCATGCTTGCATTTTTAATAGATAAAAAATACAGAAATATAATATAAAATGAAAAAAAATATTTTAAAATAACTCTTTTCTATTTTAATGCATTTTAAAATGTAATTCATTCAAATGTTCCAGCATTGCCTTTCAGCATTTTTAAAGATAGTAATATTTGTAACATTAAACATGTCAATTTAAAATTCCCTTGTCCTGTCGGCGCAATAGCCTGGTGCAGGGGTTTTCAAAGTCTAAGACAGGAATATACAGTATATATAAAGACACAGACAGATGTCAGACTGTTAACTCACTTTTATCATCATTTGCACGAAAGTGCAATTATTTACAGAGTAATAACAAGTATTTTAATATAACGTTTTTAAAACTAGGATGATGGTTCAATATGAATAGAACAGATCCAAGAACTGTTCATCCCAGTCAAAACAGTCGAAGTTTAGCAGGTCTCATGCTGTCATTAGCCAAAATATCTTGACAAACCACACTTAAAGGTCGTGGTTCATCAGCTGGTCCTGTCCACGTAAATCCTAAACTCAAATGCTGATCATCATATCGTCGTCTTTTGGGTTTAAGCCCTGAACCATTGAAGGCTTTGAATCGGGGGGTCTCAGAAACCGATCCATTGTATTAGCAGGCATAATTAGCAGGCATATAGCTACCTGTATTGGCAGGCCAAACAGAAGCGAATTCACAGCTATGGCCTTCTGGGTAAAAAAAGGTTTTCTTATTTTTGACGCATTATTTTTTTTTGCTTTGTTTAATTAAAACGTTTAAATATAATAAAAAATACATATAATAATTAAACTTAGTAATTATATTTTTATTATATAATATTTTTACCGCGCCTCCCCTGACATGCTCTGGCGCCCCCCAGGGGAAGCGTGCCTCACACTTTGAAAACCCCTGGCCTAGTGGTTAGCGCGCCGACATATGGCGCCATAGCACGTCAGGGCATCGCGAGTTCGAATCCCGGCTCGACGACATTTCCCTACCCTACCCCCCCTCTCTCTCTCCCACTTCGCTTCCTGTCTCAATACTGTCCTATCTAATAAAGGCAAAAAGGCCAAAAATAAATCTTAAAAAAAAAAAAAAAAGAAAGAAAGAAATTCCCCTTGCTCAATGAAAGCATTCGTTTATTATGATTGTATCTGGCAGCTGAAGCAGATGAATGGCAGGAAACTATGACATTGCCATCACACTCAAAGCAGCGTCCACCACTTAACTTTGCAATGATCAATCAACAGAATGATTAAACCTGATCAGCAGAGGATGATTTAACAGATCAAAGGTAAACATAAAAACAAATTCCTCACATACAAAGCAGTGTACTTAGAAATTGTCAGACGACTTCAGAGTGTGTTGTGTTTAGTTAGAGGATAGAATAGAACAGTTTGCACAGAATAAAAATATCAGTAAAGCACATAATTGTGTGCATGTGTGTGTGCGTGTGTGTGTTTACTAACCATTGAGTAATGCTGCATCTTCTGGCAGATCTACATCAAGCATGAGGTCATCATCTTCTAGGTCACAGGAGCCAGTATTATCCAGGTTGTTCAGAATGTCCTGTGCACAAGAAACAGCCAGTGAGGGAGAGGCAGTGAAATAATGATTTAAAAAAAACAGTAAAACTCCTAAGTTCATGTTAGGGTGATCATACAAAAGGAAAGGGACGCAGTCACTTGTAGACACATGTTAGAAAACAAAACTTTTTTTTGCGTCATATACAAAGAGCGTATATAAAAGCAACGACTTTTCAGGACATCTGATTATTTGAAAATGCAAAAGCACGCCAAGGTGAAAATCAATACACCGCAACAAAACCTCAATTTGTCCTCAGACAGAAAATAAAAGGACATTTCAAGCTGTGTGGCAGAGAAGCAAAGGGGCAGTTATCAGCTATTAGGGTGCTTTTTAATGCATTTTAAAGTGATTCTACACATTGAGTCTGGCACCAGGAGTTCAAAAGAAAATAAGCTCTTTGAAGAAAGATGTTCTCCACATTTTTATGCGCTTAAGTATTGCTAAGAAATACCATAAAACAAGGCCTCACGGCTTAGCCTTGATTTGTAGCAAGCAAAGAAATTGCTCTGATGTGACTCATCTTAAGATTCGTTCTGAAGAACCGCTTTGAATTGATTTTAAGGATGGGAGTAAAACTTGAGAGCGTTACAGACCTGCAACCAACTGAAGTGATAATAGCTTTAATACATCATTCACCATTTTAAAAATTATGAGTAAAGGGCTAGAGCTATTTTATGCTTTGTGTACACATGAAGCACTTGACTAATTGGTATAAATTGTAAAAATGTTGTATAAATTACTCTTCTGAAAGTACAACATCTTGAAAACAATAGTTTTTTTTTATTTATCTATATATATATATTTTTTTTTTTTCATTTAGTTACTTGGCATTTAACAAATGCTTAAAGCTGCACTAATTGCAGAGACATCTATAAATCAATGCAATGTCAATGAAGTGTCTTGCTGGTAATGAATCTCAGTCAACCTTCAATTAAATTGTTCATTCCTACTTTAGCTCAAACATGTAACTTCTTTATTGCCAGTACAGTGATGGCCCAATTTGTGATTTTTTATTATTATCACAGACAATATGTTAAAACTGAATGAAGACTGAATTAATAACTTCAGAAAAAAATACAAAAATAAGTAATACTGTTAAACTAAGAAACTGTTGCTTGAATAGTAGACTTGTATTTTTGATCAAATAAATTCAACCTTTGTGATCCTAGGAGGCTTTATTCAAAAACAACTAGCAGACACTAAACGTTTAAATGGCAGTGTGCAGAATATTACATAGAAATAATTAAGAAAACAACAGTTTTGTCCAAATAAAAAAAAAGGTTTAAAAAAAATGTAAATAAAAATAAGTTTTTTTAATATTATGCTGATTAATAAAATAAAACTCTTAAGTTAATAATAATAATAATAGCTTTATTTTGAGATTAATTACACTGTTTTTGCTGTGTACATTTTAAAAAAGATTAAAAATGTAATTGATGAAAAAGTTCAACTTGTAGAGTTCATAAACATGCATTTTTTAAATAAATTAATAGAATGTCATTAAATAGTCATGACATTAATCATTTGAACCAGTTATTATAAAATGTATTTGACAGAAAATATAAAACTGGAGGGCGGTAGGAAGGAAATTGGAAAGCAACTGAAAAGCAAATGATAATTAAATTTAACCTTGGTCACTGGTCTGCTTTTTATTAGGTATTACAAAGTTTGTTTAGGTATGGACACTGAATTATAAACATTATATTGTTATAGCTCTATTAATTATAGCCCTAAAATGAATCATATTTACAATAATTTTGTTATTAAAGTTCTTAAGAGTCCAGATCATCATTCGTGTTCATTACTGAAAAGAAAACCCTGGGATATTCTTTAAACCAGGCCCTTTACAGAAAAAAAAAGTTTGGAATAAATGATGACAGAATTTTCATTTCTGGCTGAACCATCCCTTCAAGCTAAATTAAATACATGGACTTTTCTAAATGGGGACTTTTGTGCAAAAACAGTACGCTGTGAAAGTTTCTGCATAATGGTCCATATTTCATATAGAGCAGGTAGCTGTGAAAAGAGTATGAATAAGCTCTCAGCTAACTTTAGAAAACATTATCAATCATGCAACTGCGATACATTCACAGAACAAAAACATCTCTTCGAGTCATCCAAGCTGACAGAACACTCTCAAATCCCATCCATCATATGAATATGTGCTTAAACAGAGACAGGCCCTGCTCCTGGACATCAATAGGCGCATATACACATTACATACACACACACACACACCCTACCGACTTACAAGTGCACAAAAAGTGTATTGAAAGCAGCCAGAGTTCATACACTTCACCGACACACACAGTCTCTCAGGTTTCTCTCTCTCTGATTCTCTCTATGTATAAAGGGGCTTAGTCACGCCAGGTTGCTTCAGAGGAAATGACATTTCACTGCGCCGGGCGGCAGCTTAGACACGCAGTCCAAGCCCCATCAGCTCTCTCCTCCTGCGCTGAAAGAGCCGGAATAACGCAGCCCGTTTCACGGGGGCCAGCACGAATCAGCCAGGAAGATCGGATTAAAGGTCCCTTTAGAGCTGGACCGATACCGACAGTACCTCAGATAACATTTAAGAAAGGTCCTATCAGACAAGCCCAGAATCCTGATCACATTTCACACAAACTGAGCACTGCTCCGGAGTGAAACATCATATTTGGGTGGGGGATCAAAAGGAATGTATTTGAATTCCTCAATTACGTTACATCCAAAGCTAAAATACTTGGACACCTGGATATAGTTTGAATTAGGGCTGCACAATATTGGAAAAAATCTAAAATTGCGATATTTTTTTGTTTCATAAATAGAATTTCACTACATTAGTTGAATTTGCAAAATTTGATTGGGAAGATTCTGTAGGGGAGTGCATATGAATAAAACATAAGAAAGTCTGCAAGAAATAATAAAACCAATAAAGAAAAAAATTCAATAAACTGTTTTTATTGTTTTCCGTGTAGTGAAACTATATTCAGACATACAGCAATTGAAGAATCAAATGTAAAATATAATACTGCATAGTCTTCCAATTTTATAAACAATTTAATAAAATTGATTGTTTATTGCAAGTTACAAACAGTTAGTTCTTAAGCATGAATGCTTTTAAAATCCTTAGTCACAAGCTTAAAAAAACACTTGTGAAATGATCAATTATAATCCAGACTCAACATTGCATGTACTTGCGATGTGAATATTGTGAATGATCACATTGTGATATCAATCCTGAAACGATATACTGTGCAGACATACTTAAAATGGAGAATTTTTTTCAATGGCCATGAAGAAAAAAGGTCAATATGCATGGACCTTAAAAAGTTTAAACTCAAAAATATATGTAAATTAAGTTTATATAAGCAAACTTTGAGTTTAACATGGACAAACTGAGCTGCTGTAGGTAACATTTTTTACATACATTTTTAACCCATTAGTTTGGTTCGTCAAACTTGACCCAAATTTGACCCAAAAAACAACCCAGCGTTTCTAGAACGTAGTGTTTTATTTTAATAAACTGGAAAGAAATTAACATTCTTTTTCATGCTTTAAATTGGTCAAAAATTACTTGATTTGATTATTATGCCTTATTATTATGATTTGATTATGAAAAATTATGTCTCAGAAACATACTGTTTGATCAATTAAACACAGATTGGATAAGAAAATAATGCCTCTATATTTGTCAATTAGATAATAAATTGATATTGTATGTTCATCATGTATTAGTATTGTGATTCTTGAAGTGACTGTCTTCTTGAAGTGGCTGTGTATGGAGATTTAGGTTCACTGTTTCACACTCCTGCTTTGAACTGCATATAGAATGACTTGTCTCAAGTGACAAATATGTCAATGGTCTCTGTTCTATTGAGTGAAGCAGCCTCCGTAGGGATTCAGACTGTGACTAAATGGTCATATTTAGAGACTTTTTCCTTGACACTGCTAAGTTTGGCTAGCAGTTGTGCCGATTTGCCTGTCTGACAGCATTGCTATTCACTTCCATATAATATTTTTTAATGGCAAATGCACCAAAAGTGGGATAAACAGATCACAGCACAGACCATTTATTATAGTAGTTCAGCTCAAAAGAAAAGAGTATGTAAGTGCATTTCACAACACTGACCAGATGCACATCGTGACCACACTCTATACCAAAACTCATGCTCCAGTTATTCTCAGCTCAAGCTACTGTCATATAAGAATTTCTCAGTCAAAAGTTAGATTATAAATATTATATGGATAGCACTACCAAATTAGGTGCTTCTGCCACCAGCTGTAGAACTCAGAGATACTGGTATTAAATATTAGTCTGGAGCCAGGGATATCCTTAAAATAAAATGGCATATTTTCATTTCTGTACGTCTATTTAATTAGAAAAGCATCTGTCAGTAATACAGTTGAAATGGGGGAAATTTTTGAATAATTTTCTTGCAAGTAAATTTAAACTTCCTTAAAACTTTCTGCTCACTCTCCTAAAATTTCAGAAAGGGACTATAGAGATTCTATTTTTAAAAAATGGTGCCACACATCCCAGGTGCCAATGCCTGTCCATGTTATGTAGTCTTTTCACATTTCCAAGTTTCTCAGCAGCGGAAGTCATCTAAGTTGGGTAAACTTGAAGAACAGTGACTAAGAGAGTACCACAAATAAAACATTTTTGCATTCCAATTTGCTTAAATACAGTAGCAAAAGAAAAACTTCACGATTGTGTTTTCCAATAACAGCAGAGGAAAAAACTAAATTTCATCTACTGTCCCAGGCAAGGGGCATAACTGCATTAGAAAGTGTTTTGTTTTGTTTTTGTAATTTATTGCAACAATGATGTAATAAAAATAATAATTTTATAAAATGTACATATGTGCAAAATATTAAACATAGTTAATTAAATTATTAATATTAAAAACTTAAACAAGGATTTAAAATGTGAAAATGGTCTATTTACAATTATTTGATTTATTTGTTCCTAACTACACTATCATGAAAACATTACATAC